CCATACTCAAAACAAAGAAGTGCTAACAGATGGAACTAATTATCTGCAAAAACCACAACTACTGACAACTGAAGGTAAATATTTTTCTTTATACCTCACTCAAAACTAACACAAGTAACTTACAAATGTGGCAAACCACTTTTTAGACACTAAACTTAAGGTTAAAAAGTGACCAATAAAAGAAATTATGTTTCTCCATAACCACTAGGGAAATGTGTACCTAACATATAAAGTTAAAACATTTTTTTCTGACACCATATTTCTGATTACACTATGAAACTGAAAAAGGGCTACTTGTTTTCTAAAAATACAAACACAATTAACAAAACACACAACCAATCTAAGAAACTAATGAAGTTTTTTCATATCCCATTCATGCAAACTCCAAAATTTATTATCCAAATGTTGTTTCCTTATTAGCAAATACAAACTCAACATTTGTTCAAAAACCATAATCATGACTAAGGCATGTAACTAATAGGATATATGGACAAACACAGAACCATTTGGTCCTTCAAGGCTATCTTTGAACAGTTACCCTTAATAAAAGTAAAACAAAATCAAACCCATAATGTATTCTTAAGGAAAGTGTAAATTTCCCTCTTAATCTTTTATAAAGTTAAAATTTTTCTTACCAAAAATTTATTTCTGGTAGATACTCACCTCTCCATAGAACAAATAGCTAATACTTAGCACCACAAAGTTTTGTCATGTGCCAAGCCTTTGAACAAAACTCCCTTCCCTACACATAATAACTTGTACTGTGCCAGTCTGTAATGCAATAAGCATTAAATTATACTCATCAACCAGTAGGAGGATGACAAATCCTATATGCACAGTATTATTTGAGCACACTGTATATACCAAAAGTTCATTCTTGATGAGGTAAAAGAGACACAGTGAAAGTGCAGAGGAAGGGTGTGTGGTTGTTTGGAGAAGTATCTATTTGAAATAAGTTTTCAGGTAAGAATAGGTAACATTTTTCCTACCTGAAAACATATTTCAGATAAATACTTTCCTCTCGGCACCACTAAGAGCTATTACCTCGCATGAAACTGCTGTGGAATTTCCTGCATATACCATAAGACTTAAACAAACTCTCACCCTTACACATGTATTGTGTCAACCTATGACATAATGCTGTAGCCCTCCACCAGTAGGAGATGACACAACCTTCATGCACAGTAATGCCCAAGAGCAGTAGCATATGATCATAAGTTCATTCTTGATGAGACAAAGAAAATACACCAGAAGTGGGGAGGAATGTTGGGAAGGTGTTGCGTAGAGGTGAGTATATATCTGAAATACATTTTTCAGTAAGGAAAATGTTAACTTCAGAAATGCTATATACCTATCTGCACCATTAAGAGCTAGAATCCCACAATGAAAACAGAGTAGGGGTTGTTGGAGATCAATTACAAAGACAAATTCCTTTCTGAAAAAGTGACAGAAAGGGAAAGCACATGGGCATGACTTCCACAAAACCTAGTGGAACAGCATCCAGTGGGAGACCACATCCTTCTCAAGCAGAGATCACTCTTTGCCCAAATTTATTAATAGATTTCATGTACATTACAGAGATTTACAGTAAAGGACATCATTTATCCAAGGCCAGTGGTAATATGTCACAAACGTGTGCTGAACATTAGCGTGTAATGTGACTAGGACTCTAAGCTGTTCCATCTAGATGAAATACTTATATGAGATTGATATTGCAATAACAGGTGAATGAAAGAGAATCTGAACATATACACCAAGAACTGCTTGGGAGATATTAATGATAAATCTTTTCTCATGGTCATGAAATTGGGTTTCTAAACATTACCCAATGATTACTCTTCCCCAAATGTTCTCCTATTTCAACTCTTGCAATCATATCCTCATTACTAATTAACAATAAACCAAAATTTAGACAACTCATAAAACAGAGAAGTTTAAAAAAAATACAATTTAATAACTTATTTTCCCACCATTACACAAAACATTCACTAAAAACTTTGTTCAACTGAATGAAATAATCAACAATCAGTGAATAATTTTTCAGATAGTATAACTCATAAAATAAAGAAGTTAAAAAAGAATACTAAAATGAGGCATATTTAAGAAAATAGGAGAAAACATCTATGTTAAAATGAACAATAAAAGTTAGATATATTTTGCTTATAACCACAATCAAAATTGGCAAACAAAAAACTAAATATGTTACTTAGTTTCAAAACTTCTAAAGAGAATCATGGCATAAATAATCATCTTTAAAAGCATAACTGTTGGAAGATAAACCTCACAAAAGGGTTTCATCAACAAAGAATTTGAGTATCCTTCTTTGCATCACACCCATTATATAGAAGAAAACAAGACTGTGAAATGTTTTGAAAATAACACAATCAATCACTAAATACCATACTTTTATGAGAAATTAGGTTAAACTTCTTACTAGATACCAAAAGAAAAGAATAAACCTACTAGAAAAAGCTTGAAGGCATGTGCTGAATGATAATTGTGACAAAATAAGCCAAAAACCTATTTAAAAATAGTTGTTAGTGCTTTGCACAAGCTTCTGGTTATATTAGAATACTGTAAATGTTTGGCCCTCTCACTACAGGATCTATCAAAATGCTGGAATGATTACATATGTGAATAAAATTATACCAGTTAAAACAAGTAACTGAGTTATAAAGAAAGGCTCATAGGACAGAAGATAGAGATTTGTAAAAGACTAGCTAGGCTCCAGTTAAAACAGTTTAACAAAGTAATGGATTTGGGCTATAATAATTTAGATAATATGTTTAATATACATGGGAACCAATTCAATATAGTGTGACTGAAGAAAGAATCTTGGCATCGTGGTGAATAAGTCACTCCAGCTATTGAAGCAATGCTCTATTACTAGTAAAAAAGCAATTAAAATTTTAAGGTACATTTATAGACATGTTGCTTATAAGTCAAAAATAGATAATTCTCTCTATGTACAAATGAGTAGTTAGGCCTCACTTGGAATACTGTGAAGAGTTTGTCTCCTAATCTAAGAAAGGATAATGATTTGTAAGTAAGGATTCGGGGGAGAGTTACCAGGATGAAAAGTTTATCTTGCTTGGAAATGTTAAGATCTTTTAACTTAAGTTCTCTTGAGAACAGAAGGATAGGTTGTGATCTTATTGAAATTTACAAGATTAACTGGGAAATCAATAGAAAAAAGACTGTGATTTCTTGTGAATATTCTGAAGATAATACTAATGGAACAAGAGGACATAAGTTCAAGATTTGGAAAAGACAGATTAAGCTTCAGTTATGACAGTTTTATTTTTCTAACAAAGCGACTGTCTTAAGGAATTGGTTGCCATCAGCAGTAATGGAGACCAGTATGCTAAAGTTTAAGAGGGATATTGATGCTTTAGTAAAAAGTAAATGGTAGGTTTAAGAGTGAGTATGTAAGAACAGACTTGAAGAACCAAGTTCTTCCTTATTGTCCATATGTGATGTTATGATCATGGTTAAAGTAGGTGTTACTTGGTTCACTTATTTAAAAATGCTAGACTTCAACAATCTGCCTTTGAGTAGTCTGTGTAAGCGACAGAATGAATGTTTTGAAAAACATAAACTTAAGGAAAACAATTTCAAAATTTGGAAGACTATATCCAGACTTATTTTTTTAGCAAAATTATTTCTCTGTTAAAGTCACAAACTTTTAAGATGGTTTGCTTGATGTAGTGCATGCTAGTTTAAATTATTTTAAATATATGTTGGATAAATATACAAATGTGAAAAATTACATTCAGTTTTGATTTTAATATTTTAGTTAGTATTGGGGATAAAGAGGTGACCCTGATTGGCCAAAATAGATTTTTGTGATACTTATGTTCTTACTATACCCACCAAATAAATGGTCACAAACCTATTTTCAAACACCATAGGCACAGAAAGAGACAAGAATAGTGCTAAATTCCTTCTATATTTTTATTAAGAATATGATAGACAATAAGGAACACCACAACAACTAATATAAAATGTTTCACTTCTCACACAAACCATGTCATATATTTGAATCACCTCACATTTACTTAATAAACCTAGTGTTAATCCAAGGTGAAAAAAAAAACACAACTAGAAATCAACAAATTGATAAATATTTTAAGTATTAAATTAGGAAACGATGAACATTTATCATCGTACTACTGTTTCCAACCCAATATCGTGATATTCCAAAACAATGAAACTAATTTTAATTTTGAAAATAAAATAAATTTTAGATCCACTTGTTGCGTGAAACCATTTTAAGTATCTCTGATAATTTATAAACTTAACATAAGACCCAAAACTCGAGCGCTTTCGAATAGTTGACTATTCTTCTTCAGGGGAACAAAGAACTTGAGTTTTTGGTCTTATTTTAAGTTTATTATACTTTATATGTGATCCTTTGTGCTAACTCTTTTATCATGTCTGATAATTTATAATTAACACTACATACAAAACTAAGTTAACTGTAATCTTTAATTCCAAAAGAATGTTAATCAGGCACAAATTGCATGTAACAATGTTTAAAACAGAACCCAAAACCTCCATGTACTAAAACGGTACAAAAACATTGCAAATTACTATTGCATCAACTATCTGATCATTTTCATGAAAGAAATTTGATAAATTTGTAAAATATGATTCTAGTAGTAGCAGATTACTGGATAGTAATATTGTTTGTTTGTAAAAATACTGATGCTATCCAAAATTTTTCAATACATTTTTTCACTTTCATTCTTATTTTGCTTGAATTATAATTCCCAAAGTATTGTGGTTATTTTTTATTATAGATCTGTTGAATCTGAAGTAGTTTAATAAACAGGAAAATCAACCCTGAACAAATTTGAAGGAAAATGCATTTTAGTTTTTTTAAATAAACATAGCACAACCTAGTTAGTGAGACATGAACAGTAAGTGGGGTTAACACTAACAGAGGTTAGCTAGATTGGGTATCGTGTATGATACTGCTACCACTGATTAGGTCCTACCTGAACAAGCCCTCCCATGGGGGCGAGATGAAGGTGGTTTCAGTAATTTCCCATCTTGTGCAAACCAGTATGTATCTAGTATGTGCAAAACTCTAATTACTTGTGGCAAAAAATTCAGTTTAAATATTCACCAAGTTAACGTAACAAATAATTATGAACTTTTAAATTAGCAAAAAATAAAAAAGGCACTGACAAATATAAGCAATCTAGTGCATCTTACTTTAATTTTGAAATATATATATAATGAAGTAACATATATATTTACATGTAATGTACAACACTTTTGTTTTCTTAAGCTACCTTAAACATATTAGTATTATACAAACGTCCAACTCTTGGTCATTTTGATTTTTTATAGTTATACGTAAAATCAAGACATCAGCACCGTTTATGTTACAAATATGAAATAAAATATCAAAATCATGCAATCAAATAAAAATACAAAACAGGAAAGAAACTAAATACAAGCACTGATAAGCATTATTAATGAACTTAAAGTTAAACTACTACAGACACGTGTAAAATGGTGTAAGTAGTACTAATAGTAATACTAGCAGTAAGCTTATTCAATTTTCCAATACGAAACCCTCAGGCCTATACTACTCTGTATTACCTCATAACTGAAATTCCTAAAAAAAATACCGATAACATTAACAGTGAGAACACTCAACTGATAAATCAATGCTCACTAATTATTATAATTTTCATTTTATAACATTGCATAGTACTTGTTTCATCGGTTTTATTAGCTATATTATTTATTCAGTTAATTTTAAAAATATATGTAGTTAGCTTGCTTTGGTCAGAAGTTTATTGATAATTTCTTTCTCTCCCTTTCTCTCATTGTATGCTTAAAACTTAAGGTGTTAAGGTGTTCTCATACCCTTTGAATGAACGAAAAACTACAGGTATTTCTTTACTTAGAAATTGTGTGTGTGTGAATTTTATTTGTGGCACAAAGGTAACACCTCAAGATAATGGAAAAATAGTAACGCTATAAACAATGAAATAAACAGCACCCAATATACTTTGTACAAAATTAAACTGTTGAAATCAACTTGTTGAAAATATTAGATCTGAAAAGCTTCATAGATCACGATCAACCAACAAATTCAAATGTGTTTTGATAACAAACAGGCAAGATAAATTGATTTGATGGACACACAAAATGTTACATTGCTGGAAATACAAAATAGCAGTATACTAAAACAAACTACTGTTATTAAAAGACATTATTCAATTAAAAAATTGTTGTGACCTATGTTTGATATTTTAATTTACACATTTTGTAATGTTTGCTGGAGGGAGTTTGGTCATGACGTGATGATGTTGTGTTACACCTATATTCTATATCTATCCTGAGGGTCTAGGTTTGACAAGCACATGACGTCTTGAATTTTCTAATAATATACAAACTCGAGAAAGTCAGTGAGATAGTTGATTAATTAGTTAAGAGTCTATTATCAATTACTGAGTTAATGAGAATGCTAGTCAGCCAACTTGAGTTTGTGCCTTGGATAAAAGAGAAAATTTAATAAGTAACTGACTGACAAATATTATTTGTGACTTAATTAGTCCTATTCCTCGGCGAGATTGTAAAACTTATGATAAATGAAATAAAAGACTTTACTTTTCGTTAAGCAGACTCGACTTGGCATTATTATTACAGAATAAAAAATGCTCAATAATAGAAAATGTTACCACATTTATATCTGGAGTGAGATTATTTTAGTAAAAAAAAAAATCAAAAGCAAGCTTCAAGATGATGATACATACTTCAAGTAAGATTGAAAAGTTTCTTGAGATAATGAACCAGTGGAAAGAATTAAAAGAAAACCAGGAAGAAAGACAGCAAATAAGAGGATATAGGAGAACAAAAAAAATTAGAAGGAGATCTGCAAGAAAGAGACAAAAAATTAAAAGAAGATCAAGAAGAAATTTAAAAAAAGTTAAAAAAGAACAAGACAAGTGACAAAAGTTTAAAAAATGAAACTTAAGATTTGAAGGAAGATAGAAAACCAAAACAAATTTGACTGAAGGCAAAATCAAACCAGCTATTGGAAATGTGTAGTAGGAAAAACTGATGTAGTACAAAAAGATATATGTGAAGTGCAGAAATATTATAATAGCAAACTCAGTGAGATAGAGAAGAACATTGGTGACAGAATAAAACTTCTGGAAAATGAATTGGAAAATGCAAGGATCAAATCAGTTCACACCTCTCTTGAGGATCTGTATCCACCCAAGAATTCCATTTAACATTTAACTGTGAGATATGAAACAGAACAGATTTGGTCTACACCTGTTACCACTACTTTATGCACTCAGTGTTAACAGGACCTTCCTGGAATACTTCAATTATATCATTACCTTATCAAGTTACACAACTTAGCAGGTTGGGTCAACGACATCACCCAGTTGAGAAGCCAACAGATTATAATTAAAAGAATATCATGGGAAGCACTGTCAGTTTTTTTTTGTTCATGTGTATAGCTATGAGCAGGATTTTTTACAGTAGGTGTCTGTGACTTGTTGGCAATAAATATCAACAATAAACGGGCAGCACAGAATTCACTTGTTTTAAAATAATATATTCAAGTCAAATGTATGTACGAAGATTTGTTACACCACTGGTTATCACAGTTGTATCCAGAGCTTTGAATAATCTTCTCTTTTTTGTCAAAGTCCACACACAGGTGGGTTTGATTACTTTAGAACACCCTTTGACAAGACAAATTATTCTCCTCTACTCTGTTATTACAATACTCACTTTAAAATCACCACTATAACTGTTGGTTACCACAGTTGTATCCAGAGCTTTTAAATAATTGTCTCGTTTTAATCAAAGTCCACACAGGCGAATTCAGTTACTTTATAATACCCTTTGACAAGACAAGTTATTTTTCTCTATCTCTGTTATTACAATACAAGCTGTGATACTTTCAGTTTAGAAATTGCCTGTTAACGCTAAACTCCCACACAGTCTAAATTCACTTTTACTTTTGCTAAATTAGTACTTGCACTAACTTGGTCACCTATATATATATATATATTGCTCGACTGAGGCCTAGAACGTTATTCAAACCACAAGACATTATGATGTAACAATACACACTTAAAGCAACGAGAAAAATTCCAAAGGTTCGAGCAGGGTGACGTCCATTCACAGCAATTGAAGTATAGAACAAATTATTCATAAACAGTTATGTAAGGAAACCTATGATAAATCATCACTTCTAAAAAATACTAAATTTAACATTAATGATTTATAACAATCTAAATCACAACTCTAGTGTTACATTTAATTGAAACAGTCATGTATATCTACCAAGCATACCAGGCTCAATTCAAAATACTTTCTAAAGTTAATAGATGAAGGGGTGAAGCTATTCATCTTACTATTCATTTAAAAGGGACATATAAGACATTAAGCAACTGCCAGCTGAGAGATCTAACCAATATCAAGCATTCAATTTTGGAATGACCCATCAGAAGGAAGTTTCCAAAGCAAAGTCCAGTAGCATAGTAAGAAGGAAGAATGAGACTTTAGCCAAACTTGAAGAAGATGTTGAAAGACTTACCCAATTGTTTTACACTTATGCTTCAGAAGAAATGGTGGATTCATGTGTATGTGACAAATTTATAGTTACCATAATGGATGAGGACATTTAGATTAGGCTAAAGCAAAGTAGGTGTACATCATTAATGGGAGTTGTCCAGTTAGTGATATAACTTGGATCAATTATAATTGCAAATATAAAACTAATTTCACCATTCAGAAATTATGATCTTATGATGTTAAGTAGTATATAAATAGTAGCTCTCTTTGGTGAATATCTAAAAGAGCCAAAACAATAATTAGAAAACTGTTAACTCAGAGTGAGAGATGTAACAGGAAAAAAAGATGTTCCAATTGCAAATGAAAAGGGCATATTGCCATGAACTGCAGACAAACGTCTTTAATTAGAGAGCTGTTTATTCAAGTTGGAGAAAGTAAACCACAGGACAGAAGGTGCTTCAAATGTAACTTCAAAGGACATATCACTAGAAATTGCTCTTAAAAATGTCAGAAGAAAGAAACTGCTACATGTGTGGAAAACACGAGCATTACATCCTAAACTGTGATGATTCAATTGTCGATAGGGAAACGGAGACAATATCTTGAGGATGAGAATACCCCATCTTCTCCAGCAGAAATAAGAACTGTATTATTTAAAAAACAAACAGCCCACAAGTCAATGGGTTTACTGATGGGAGCTTTGTAGAATGTTGATAGACATTGATTCTAGAGTTAGAATGTTAGAACTGATTTGGTAATGAAAGGTCAGAAACTGCTTCCAGAAATGAAACAAGAAGATGGATTGATGCAAACAGCAAGTGGACATACAATATCATCAAGATGAAAGTTGAAAGTCACCCTCACTGGGGGAAATTTCTCTTCAAAACATGGTGTGTGAGTGATTGCAACAAAGAAGAGTACACATTAGGAACTAATTTTAAGAAGTATGAATGTAATGTTAGACTAGCTTCTTTAAAAAACTTCACAGCCTAAGACCAGAAAAGCACCATGCACTATACAATTATACCACCAGAGATTAAACTTTAAGTAGCAATAAAAATAGGGTAATGAAAACAGTAGATATGTAGTGCAACAGAGTGGAATTCAGAAGAATATGTGACTCAAACCAAAGATCATCCATCATGAACATTATTAGAAGAATGTCAACGGTAAAACAGCCAAAGACTTGTATTAATGGAAGACTTCATCAAAACTAAGTCAACCTGATGGAGAATCCAAGGTTCCTGTCAAGACACTTTCAGAGAAGAATTTGACATTAGCACTGAACCTGCTGAAGAGCCTAAGGTTCTTATCGTGATCACTTCCAGAGTGTCTCCAAGGGTGGATCCAGCAATGATGATAAAGGACAAAAGGTCATCCCATCTTAGTAGTATAAGCCACAAAAAGGATATTGTTGAATGGACAGTTTTGTCACTGTAAATAATATAATGAAGATTTTGCTTTCTTAATCAAAATTGAGATTGTACTTTGTTTTGCACATTTCGGTATTCAATAATTGTAACGTTTAATTACGTGAATATTAATGCTTTTAATTGTAAAGAGTGATTTATGTAATTATGTAATTTAAGTTTAGTGTATTGTTTTACTTGCGCATTAAGACTGTTCAGAGAACTTCAGAATCCATGGAACTGTTTTAATATTTTAATTTACACATGTTTGCATGATGTGTGAAGCCTGTGATATCTCCCACGAGAGTAGTGAGTTAGTTTATCAGTTCATTAGTCAACCAGTTAGTGAGTTAGTTAATCAGTGAGTCTGTAACAGTGCTATCATTTGTTTATTGAGTTAATAGGTGTGTTAGTCAGCCAATTTGAGTGTATGCCATAGATACAAGAGAAAATTTAACAAGTAAATTATTATTAAATATTATTTGTGCCTCTGGCATAGCACTTGGTGAGCTTGTAAAGCTTAAGGTAAAAGAAATAAAATGCTTTACATAATAAAAAAGAAGCAGCCCAACAATATAAACTGCAGCAAGACAATCATAAACAACATTACTAATTTGTATAAAGAATACAAATATGATAGAGTGATGTATTTCCCAATCACATGTAAGGAGTATGTTACTGATTTGAAAAACTCTAAATTGGACATTTTTAAGTACATTGGCAACATGATTCATGCGCATATTGTGATGCTTGGTTTGCAAGAAACATTGAACACGAAAAATCCAGAAACTGTCTCCCAGGTAATACAGCTTGTTCCAGCCTTGTTCACCAACTAACTGCTAGGAAGTATCAGAATATAATTATGTGGATTCTTATAAATACAAATTGTCTTGGATGACCACCAAACAAGATCCAATGCAAGCAAACATTATATTGTTGTTGCTAAAATGGATATTTTAGTTAAAATGTCTTGTGTTTCGTGAATCTAACTAAAATATGGTGACAGATAAACACTAATAGTAAGATTCTGCCTTTTTAATGCAGTTTTATTACATGATAAAATTATGAAAAAACCTTTCTACGGTAATTCAAATTTCTTTATACAAAACGTTAATGTACCTGATATGCGTATTATGCAACCGTAAAACCAAAGTTTTAATTTAACTAATAAGAAAGTTTCTGACTTACCTCTCTGTGTTTCTATATTAGTTTGATGAAGTTTAGATTTATCTTGTCCACCTAAGTCTGTTGCTTGTGACCATAGCCCAATGTTTTCTCTTTCCATAAGAGAATCTGCAGCTCGTGCAAACCAATATGAACCTGAGGAAGCTGTGGAAAATATGAATCTCGCGTGTTTAATTCTTTTATGGTAGCATGTCTAAATTATAAACAGCTGTGGTTATCATTGAAAAAACTTAAAAACATATATAAGAGGTCAGATACCCATTCCTCTAAAAAAAGATACATAGGATCAAAACAATTTACAGTGTTATGGACTTCTTTTATAGCCCTCCAACACATTCAGTACGTGTATAAGTAAATTGATAACATATTTTAAATAAGTAAATATGTGTCTCTCTATTTTCATTTTATGGATGAAAATTAGTTATTTTTAAATTCACAAATTTTACATTTTAAGATAAAAGATTGAGAAAACTGAAGCACTGTTACAGACAGATATGTGTGACTGGAAGTGAATTCAGCTTCAAGGTTGAAAAACACTGACCAGAAACTATTAGGATCTCCATAGACATTTGTAAAATGCTATTAACTTACTATGCAACATAAACTGATCATGTGGTGTAACAAACGATTGCTTGAGCTCTTACAATGCAGGTTTATAATCACAGTTTGGTTAATATGCAAGAATTTCTCAAACTTTTGGAGGGACATGATAATAAATGTCTTTCTAGGAAAATTATTGTTATCAAAACTCATATCTTTTACTGGCTGTTCCAAAGCATTTCTGAACAGGGATTAACAAATAAGTAATATAAAATACTGCAAGAAGTTAACCTTTCTATATAGCACCAAAAGAATACTCCCTCAGAGTGTGTATGGTCATCCGTGAAAGGATAACACAGGGTGTCTTCCAGGGGAGGCTTCCTTTGAGGCCGCGAGGTCACGTGAACTCATAGTTCCAAGTTGTTCTACCCTAGAACGTGTTGCTATGGGTGGATAGTTCCATTGTGTGTTACCAAAGGGTGTCTTGCTATGAGCCGAAAATGGTGTTACCAAAGCATAGATCGATGAGGTCATCTATGATGAGTGTGTAGACGGTTCACAAATGAACCACCAGATGGTGTTGTAGATCAGACATCAACGTGTTTCAACATATGATTAAGTCATCAACTTTATAAGTTCCACTTCAATAACAATTAAAGCCTTAGAGTTAATATTCCATCTAATTTGCATTATGTACTTTTAACAATTATACTAACTTATCTGATGTAGTCCTGAAAAGAGCTAATTTGTATTGTAAAATGCATAAACTATTTAAACTATACATATATAACACACGTTCCGCTAATTATAACGTATTACAGTTTGACTTTACATATTACTTATACTAGCAAATCTATGTATGCCTGAAAATGACTATTTTGTTTTGTTATATAATTAAATTACTTAAAATGTACACATCTAATGCGTGTTTCACTAATTATAATGAGTATAGTTTGACTTTATGGTTTACATATATTATCACTCTACATATGTAACAATATAGCCCTGTTTTCATTCATATGTCAACTATCTAGTTAATAAACACGATATGTCCATTTTACCCCAACTAAACATAGTAACCCTTATCTTCTTCTTTTTTCTAAATACAAAACGTACTCTAGAAAACGTACTCCATGCTTTAAATAGCGACGCTCCCCAAACTCACAGAATGTTCCGCTGCGCCCCCTTCACATTAAAGTAATTTTCGCAAGTGATAACAGTAAAAGCAACATTTTCTTTACCTGTTTTCAATAATTTTTTAAAATAAAGAAATGCTTTTCAGAAGTGAGTAAATGTGAGAGCCCAAAAAAAGTTTTGAGAGCAAAGTGATAGTTCTGTTAGGTTATCGTCGTCTCCAATTCTTCTGTTTCTCCCCTCGCTATTTTTGGGCTTGGAAAACATTGACTTAAGTAATTTTTTCAGATTTTCTATTATAAAAAAATTAAGTATCAACACTTACTAATCAGTTGAGCAAATTCAAATAAGTAGAACTGATGAAGCATATGATAAATATAACTTTTTGACATACCTCACAATTGAAAATAATGATTCTGTTTATTGTATATCATTTGCATATACGAGTCTAAGTACATTTTTCTCTTTAATTAAAGGTATACTAAGATAATCGATTGTTTAAACAAGTGGCATTATGACACATAGTACTGTATAATAAATTTATTTATAAAACAATACAAAATAGTCTTTTTCAGACTTATATACCTCTAAGAATAAACTAGTATAACCGTAAAATGTATGTTGTGCAAATACATGTAATATATTTTCACGATTTTGTTATTGTTGATGAAACAATCACAGTTGAGACCTGATCACGAACCATCTAATAGCTTGGGCATCATAGATGACCTCATCGTCACACACTTTGGAATTATCTGCCTCTAGTAACCAATTGCCCCTAGTAACACTATCCGCCTCTATTAATACGTCCTCTGATGCCAACTAACTATCCGCTTGTTTCCTGACCTCTAATGACATAACTTGGAATTATGATGTTACGAACTATTCGCATAGTTTACTGCCCTCTGATAACATGAATCTGGTGACACAGCTTAAAACTATAATTTAGCGAACTACCTGTCCATATTTTTCAACACTAGCAACGCACCCCAGTAACACGCCTTTTGGTGCCACTTCGTGAAACTATGACGTCACATGATTTCCTGATCTCAAGCTCTCCCCCTTATCACCTGAAACTCTCAATCAGAGTAAGGCAGCATCGTTTGGTGTCTCAAGTGTACCCCTAACCACTACTGTGCCCACATAACTGTTGGTAACTAACCGAGGGAAGAGTACCATTGAGTAGGCTTGAAAAGTCATAATCTGCCTTAACTGGTTATTCAAACAGTGGTCAGGATTCACCTGTTAAGACATTATAAGAATGCTACAGCCAATTATCCCTAGCATATACAGGAAAACAACGGCTTTAGAAGTACTTGGGACGCAAACTGGGCAATGAATGAAATGGTTAGAAGAATGTTACATGATCTGCTGAATTGCATTTCATCGTGTTCTGGACTACGCTAGTATAAAATATGGAGAATATTTGACCCTGCTTCTGTTGTACCAATTATGCAAGCTTCCGGAAATAATGTTTTCATAATTTTACAGTTCCATCTTCATGAACAAAATATCTTCCAAGATTGTAATACAACAATCCACCGCATTCATATGGTCTGAAGTTGGTTTCAGGTGTATTTCGGTGACTTTAGTTTTATGTTTGATCTTAATACAATTGAGATTTTTCTGGAACGAACTTGATCGTCGCATTCGCTACAGTAACTCTGTCAACAACAGGGAACTAGTCGAAAACCATAATTCTCAACGAAAGGGTTATATAAAATACTGTTACGACAGCGGTAGTCACGTGACGCTGGTAACACGTCATGATATTCTAGAAGATTCACGAAGAAACGAGATGTACGCTTTTTGTATATATAAGACCGGTAAGAAGTGACGGCAACAATGGAATTGAATTGCAGACAGAGATAGAGACGGACAATTGAGTCAAGCACGTGAATCGTTCGTTGTGAATTATAGCGTTTGTTTAAGTTACAGCGTGACTGTGGAAATTAAGTGTATTGCAAAGTTGTATTGAGAAAGAATAAACTAGTTTTATTTATGAAAGGACTTGTATCGCTAAAGTTTCTTCGGAAAGAATTTTTACGGAAAATTAACAAATGAACAGAGACGTAACAAACTGGTGTCAGAAGTGGGATGGAAAAGAAAAAAATGGAAACGACAAGTGGCAAATCAAACTACAGCTTAGCAGATTTGATGGCAGCAATACAAGAACAACAAAAGAAACAAGAAGAACGAGAAAATAAACAAGAAAAGAAACAAGAAAAGAGACAAGAGCAGTTGCAAGAAAACCTGCAACAGTGGAAGCTCGAACAGCAAAATAAACAAGAAGAGAGAATACAGCAGTTGTTGGAGGAAAAAGAAAAGAAATAAGTAGAAAGAGAAAATAAACAAGAAGAGAGAATACAGCAGTTGTTGGAGGAAAAAGAAAAGAAATAAGTAGAAAGAGAAAATAAACAAGAAG